GCAGTTATGGGCAGGCAAGCTACACTGGCCATCCAGTGATGCATATGTGCCATGAGTGAATTAAAAAACAATCCCAGCAACACCAGAGTTTTGTCGTAGGCACTGCCAGGATTGAAGACAGGCTCATGATCTGATGGATCCTGAATTGAGGTAAATGAGGTGTATTGGGTAGGGAGGGTTTTGCCATCTTGGACAAGGGGAGGCGTGAGGTGATAGGCTTTTAAGTTAGGCAGGTAGGAAGGAGACAGTGACTGTATTATCAGGAGGTGCTCCCAATGGACGAGAAGCACCCTCTGAAGATAGTACACTACTTTCCTCCCTTCACTTTTAAAAACTTATCAAAACAACAGTCTGCTCAGTCCCTCTTGCATGTCCATGCCAACCATTTTATGCTGCAGCAGGGTAATATTGGATAAATTGATCTTTTATTAAGTATTAGTGTTAACAAGCTTTATTGACTATTAATTATTTATTTAAATATAGTGAGTGTACTTCCAGTCACTACCCCATTTTCTGCAGATGATTTCATGGATAGGAGGGTAGATGGTTGGCTGGGCATTGGACTTTTTTTTATGACAACCCCTCCTTTACCTGCCACCATCAAAAACATACCCAGTGGGGGCATGTAATATCCAGCCCCAGCTTTTCATTTCCATGTTTCTGGAAAATGAATCAAATTCTCATTTTCTCCATTATTAGTCCACTAATGTAAAAGCCTAGTCACCATTGCATTAAGATTTAAGAATATATGTAGGGATGGTAGAAAAGGCAGTGAATAGATTGTGGGCAGTTGGCCTGCAAAGGAACTTCAGGGTCTTCAGGTCAGTGCTTAGGGACGTAAAACACTCCTTGATAAAGCAGCTTGTGTGGCTTCATCCTTTGCCACATCTCCTTCTTCCTGCTTTTTCTCTCTGACTACTGATCTGTCATTAAAAAAAATGTCACCACCTCATTTACTCAATGAAGATTGCCCCTTCTGAAGCCTTTCAATGGAGTCCTGTTGCCCGAGTATGTTCTCTGTGGGTCCGTGACAACTGCCCATTGCTACACAAAATTTTGCCCCATGACCAAAAAGTATTTTCTTAGGATGTGGTGTACATGGGTAGATCAGCAGAACATTCATGATTTGAAGTGTTAAAAGCCATTAAGGATTCTGCTTCACCATTGTTCCTAGTTGGATATTCCATATCCTAACAATGCATTGAGGAGAAATAACATTGTTTTTAATCCTTTGTTCTTTTTGTGATTTCCTCAAACTTGTGTCTCCTCATTGATATTGACTCTTAAACTTTATTAGTGGGAATGGATTTTTTGTATCTTTGGGTCACCTCATAACAACATCTCAGTGTTCCATTAGGCTCTGATTCCTTTGGAAAATCTGCAGACCATCACAACTCCACACTTCTGTACCTTTCTATTCCTTTAGTAAAGACCATTATGACATAATCTTGGCCATAATACTGAAATAAAAGACAGCATAAACAATCATTCTATTCAGTATTATTCAATAACATTTCCAACAACGCATACAATATTAATCTGTTCCCATTGTGTCTGTGTTTCATGTGACTTTGCTCGGCCCAGTATTCCATTCTTCTGTTTTATGTATCTTTGGTCAGGTCTGAAATGCTTTCTATGTCATTCGCCAAGGTATTCTTGTGTGTTGAATGTTGTCACAAGGTTTGTTGCATGCACTCTCATTAGCAATCAGCATTATCTGTTTCTTTTAAATCCTTCTGCATTACTGCAGTTATAAACTTATTCCTTAATATGACCTCATTACTGTAAGACTTTTAGGAATACACTAGCCTGTGGTCTGTCTCTTACTTGTTCCTACTTTGCTGTGTCCAGGTCTTCATGGCATTAATGAGTCAGGAAGTATTACCCTTTTCAGACCCATCTACAACATCTCCTATCGAGTCTCGTTGCCTTCATGCTATTATTGCTATAAATTTGTTATGCAGTTAAATTTACCACTACCTTATCTGTGTAGACATTTACTTGCACTTTCCCCAGTCATCTGGTTTACTCTGGATAGCAATAACCTAAGGCAGTTATTGGGTGCTAATAACATATAACACAATAATTTTCTTATTAAACTAAAGTACACTCCAAAAATCTTACCCACACAATACTTAAAATCAAAAGTGAACCCTTTTATATGTACTTGTCCGATGATCAGACCAGAGTAGGTGATTAGCTTGCACCATCTCAACTTCCAGCCATTGATCAGAGGACCACTTCCTCAAGCTAATTGACTTGTGAGGCAAGGGTCTTTTTATACTCTTTCCATACAAAGAAACCATGCTTCCAAATCTTGACACTATCAAGTCTCCAGCAAACGATCAATTTAACCATGAGCAAACATTATGTGTGTATCATAGAAAACACAATGTGGAGCTGGAGGAACACAGCAGGTTAGGCAGCATCAGAGGAGCAGGAAAGTTGATGTTTCGGGTTGGGATCCTTCATCAGAAATGGGGAGGTGGAAGGGAGCTCAGAAATAAATAGAGAGAGGAGGGGTACAGCTAGGGAAGGTAGGTGGGATGGTGATAGGTGAGTGCAGGTAGGGAGTGGTGGGGATTGGTCAGTGAGGTGGGAGGGGCGGATAGGTAGGAGAGAAGATGGGCAGGTTTTGTCAGGTCAAGGAGGCGGGGATGAGAGGGAGGGTTGGACAAGGGATGAGCCCGGGAATGGGGAAGTTTTAAAACTGATGAAATCCATGTTTAGGCCATTGGGCTGTAGACTCCCGAGGCGCAATATGAGATGATGCTCCTCCAGTTTGCGGGTGGCGTCATTGTGACACTGGAGAAGGCCCAGAATGGACATCTCACCCAGGGAGTTGGAGGGGGAGTTAACATGGTTCGCAGTGGGAAGGTGTTATCGTTTGTCATGAACAGAGCGCAGATGCTCTACAAAATGGTCTCCAAGCCTCCGCTTGGTCTCATTGATGTAGAGGAGGCCACATTCGGGAGCAGCGGATGGAGTAGATCAAGTTGACGGATATGCAGGTGAACCCCTGTCTAATATGGAAAGTTTGTTTTGTGCCTTGAATGGAGGTGAGGAGGGAAGTGTAGGGGCAGGTGTAGCTCTTCCTGTGGTTGCAGGGAAACGTGCCGGGGATGGTGGGGTTAGTGGGGAGTGTGGAGCAGACGAGGGAGTTGCGGACAGAGCGGTCCCTATGAAGAGCAGATGGGGTGGGAAGGGAAATATATCTTTGGTTGTGGGATTGGATTGTAGGTGGCGGAAGTGGCAGAGAATGATATGTTGGATGCGGAGGTAGGTGGGGTGATATGTGAAGACAAGGGGATTCTGTCATTATTTTTGTTGGGGGGAGGGGATGTGAGGGTAGAAGTGCGGGAAGTACAAGAGATGCAGTTGAGGGCTTTTTCGATCACTGGAGGGAGGAAGTTGCGGTCCTTGAAATAGGAGGACATCTGGGATATGCGGGAGTTGAACTCCCCATCTTGGGAACAGACGCAGCGGAGGCGGAGGAATTGGGAGTAGGGGATCGCATCCTTGCAGGAAAGTGGGTAAGAGGAGGTGTAGCCTACGTAGCTGTGGGAGTCAGTGGGCTTGAAATAGATGTCGGTTTCAAGGCAGTCATCAGAGATGGAGACAGTGAGGTCCAGGAAGGTGAGGGAGGTATCGGAGATGATCCAGGTGAATTTGAGTTTGGGGTGAAAGGTATTAGTAAAGTTGATGAACTGTTCGAGCTCCTGATGAGAGCATGAGGTAGTGCCGATACAGTCATCAATGTAGCAGATGAAGAAGTGGGGGATAGTGCCAATGTGGCAGCGGAAGAGGTACTGTTCCACGTATCCTACGAAGAGGCAGGAATAGCTTGGGCCCATGCGGGTGCCCATTGCCACCCCCTTACTCTGTAGGAATTGGAAGGAGTTAAAGGAGAAGTTGTTAAGGGTAAGGACAAGTTCAGTTAAGCGGATGAGATTGTCAATGGAGGGGGACTGGTTGGACCTGCGGGAGAGGAAGAAGTGGAGGGCTCTTCAGCCATCTGCATGGGGGATACAAGTATATAGGGATCAGATGTCCATAGTGAAAGTGAGGTGTTGGGGGCCAGGGAATTGGAAGGTGGAGGGCGTGGGTGGTGTCCCAGACGTAGGTGGAGAGTTCCTGGATCGTTGTGGAGAAAACAGAGTCAAGGTAAGCAGGCAGAGACAATGGGTCGGCTGGGAGAGTCAGATTCGTGGATTTTGGGAAGAAGATAGAAACGGGCGGTGTGGGATTGGGGAACAATGGGGTTGGAGGCTGTAGGTGGGAGGTCACCTGAGGTGATGAGGTAATGAATGGTTTATGAGATGATGTTTTGGTGGTCAGGGATGGGGTCATGTAAGGACACCAAGTGCAGATGGCCAACTTGCTGAGAGCTGCCAGTCAATCGGAGCCCAGGAACTCTTCTGTACTCAAGTCTTCACCTGCCACCTTTCTGCCCAATTAGTTGTTCCCTTGTCGCCAAACATGCCATGAGAGAAGGCACAGCATTCCACCCAATATTCTAAACACAATTCAACTACGAGTTGCGAATAGACTTAGACTTCTATGTTTTTTGTCCTTAAAGCTTCTGTATAAAACTGCAGGGTTTTAAAATGATTTTTGTACGTTTTATTTAAACAGCGTTGTAATCTTTTCCCATTTACAAATACTTCTGCATTTGAACTCTTAAGGTCCCATCCTTTTTAAAATATTGCCACTTTAAATACTTTACCCTTATTCTTTCTCACATTACCCGTTTATATACTTACTCTTTAATGTTTCTATTTGGCGTGTGATGCAAACCGATAGAACTGCAGTTGTTAGACATGAAAAATTTGAAAAAGACATGGCATGAATCTGAAAGTTCTTCAGTTTTAAAGTATACATTATTCAAATTTCAATATGTACCTTTCTGTGTTACTTCCTTCAGAGAACAGATATCGTTGTGGTAAACAATATTCATTTGTGGCTGTGAATACAAATTCTGATTTTTGTGTCTCATGCAGGGAAGCTATTACAAGTTAATTCAGGTGCTAAAGAGCATTTGTTTTTTGAAGCACCAAGAGGGAAACGACAAACTATTAGAAGTACAGAGGTATGAAATTCCTTAATTTTGCTATATAAGTTGTAATAATCTAGAAAAACAGTTGATTAACAATATATCTTTACACATCTTTATAAGCTTTTATTTGCACAATTACAGATTATAACCAAACACTATCTAACTCAAAACCACAGTAACAGCTTATGACCATTTACCAACACAAAAAAACAACTATGCCCAGGCCTTCATATGATTAATCACAATCAATATTAAATAACAAATTCTCTTTTCTCTCACTTAATAAAAATTAGACTTTATGAAAACAAGCAAGGTTTCATAATAAATAATATCGTTGTTTTCATACCATTATATTGTGAGATGCTGTGCCTCTAGGACCTCTAATTTGTTTGTGCATACATTTCTTTTTGTAAAACAATTAGAGAGTTGATGATTTGGATTCTCCTATTAAAATTTTGAGATTATTTTTGTTTCCAGCATTTATTTCAAGCCAGTGTGGCCAATCTGTAAACTTTCCTTACACACAGATTTTGTTAAATATATATTATCAACTCAGCATTCAAAGGATATACTATCCTCAGTATGCCGTTATACAGTATTGGATTTAAAGTATTTAACTACAGGCCAAAAGTAAAGTCACCATAGTCTTATCAGACCTTGGGGCTGCTCTCTCTTTAGAGAGAGACAACCAATGGGGGTTTAACCTGAGGGTCACCATGCCTCAGGTGAGAGGAGAGGTTGGGAAGGAGAGTTCTTCATAGTAACCTTGACCAACACACGAATTGAAGTCATGCTGTTGGTGTCATTTTGCATTGCAAACCAGCCATCCAGCCAACTGAGCTAACTGGCCAAAAGAGTGATAGGATTCAGGATTTAGCTGGATTCTCTGCAGATTTAGGGATATTCAATTGTGCACGTGGCTATCAATGATTCTACGAGTGTCCAGGAACCTTCCTGAACGGAGAAGTTTCTAGTTGCTGAATGGACAGTTAATTTGAGGCCATAGGATCCTGCATTTGTGTGCAAGGTTGTTGAGTGGCTGCCACTGCTTTTTCATCTTGAGAAAGTCCCAAGTCCCTCATCCTCTCACGCTGTCTGTACCTTAGTGGATGCATACTTAGTGACAAGAACTGAGGACATAGCTCCTTAAAACCATGAGAACCCCCACAGCGACAGCGAACATCTACAACTGCTTCCACACCAATGCAAGGGTAATGATTGAACAGACAATAGGCCTGCTCAGATGAGGTTTGAATGCCTGGATACATAAGGGGAAGCATGCAATAAATGGCAACAAAGGTCTCACATACAGTTGCAGTGTGCTAGCTGTAAAGGGAGTAGCATTGCATCAAAAGCCTCCCCAAAGGTCAGTGTTTCAGCAGCCAAACTACTTTTAGCATTTTCTTTTTTAATCTTAAAACTCGTAACTAAAAAATACCATTTTCACTCAGCTGTTGCTGCGTCCACAGTGCTGTCTTAGAATTGACCTCCAGAAACATTCTGGTAAGGATGGTTCAAAGCTATGAGTGAAGTTGGAGCTGGTGTTTGGCAACAACAAGAACTGCTCTTGCAAACGTTTTCCAGAATAACAAGGAATTCAGTGTGCATGCCCATCAGTCTTCTCCTGCGTGGTAACCATTGAAGCCCTCATCTGCAACTGAATTTGTCTGTAATATCACCTGCTGCTAGGAATATATTTTCCTTCGGCAGTCCTGCGGCCTGACCATGCTCACGTGCATGTTCCACCTCTAAACTGAGCTACACATAATGTCAATATCAATGCTGTTGACCGAGAGTATCAGATCCAGTACAAATTCCTCTTCACAAATGTGCTCTATTCCTCTCCTTTCATAGGCAGGTGGCAGGTATCGCTTGTTTAAAAGCGTAAATGGTCAAAAAGGCTTTGGGTTATAGAAAGCGGAGTGAGAGGTATATGGTTACATGATCTGCAGCGATCGATCTACACAATCTCCTTTCATACCAAATGGCAAGATAGAGACCAGAAAATGCCATCATCTTGAATGATTTCAGTGAGGCTACTGCCAAGTCATCAGGAAGGGCTGCACCAACAATAAAGATCAAATGCATTGTGTTTTTGGTTGCATTTTTATTTCAAGCTTTGTTATTTAAATTAAGTCACTTCTACTGTTTTGATAATGTTTAAGTTCCTATGTTGGACACTTTTTAAAATTTATTCATAGGACATGTGCATTTCTGTCTTGGCCAACATATATTGCCCATCCCTACGTGCTGAGGCGAAGGTGGTGATGAACCTCTGCAATTGATTTAGTGTAGGTACACCCACAGTCCCATTAAGCAGGGAGTTCCAGGATTTTGATCCAGTGACATTAAAGGAATGGTGATATATTTCTAAGTCTGGATTGTGAATGGCTTGGAGAGGAACTTGCAGGTAGTGATATTCCTACATATCTGCTACTCTTGTCCTTCAGGATGGTCATTGTTGTGGGTTTAGAAGGTGCTGTCTAAAAAGCCTTGATGAATTTTTGTGGTACATTTTGTAGATGATACACACTGCTGCTTGCTGAGCACCAGTGGTGAACAGAGTGGATGTTTGCCGATGTAATAATGCCTGTCAAGTGGCCACTTTGCCTGGTGTTGAGTATTATTATAAAACTGTAAACTTGGTTGATAAACTTAATCTCCACCATGACATTAAAGTAGGTGGGCTAAGAATTGCTAAGGTCTATTAGCAGGCATGGAGATTGTGGTTTGAAAATACCCTGTACTTGATATAAGTTATTATGATTGTAACACACTTCCCAACAGTGAATATGCTGCCAAGTGACTGCACTCTCAGCAGGGAATTCAGGTTCAATCAAGGCTGGGACCAATTAAACCTTGCATCCACTTCTTCAAACAGTATTTACTTCTTAAAGGGACCAGAGTAATTGCTGAAGACTAAAAGGCTTAGGGGAGAAAATGGCTCCAAGCACCTGTAATGTAGGCACCGATTGGCCTCAGTGCTCAAAAATGTCTGAAATGTGCACACAAATTTCCTGCAGTATGTGCATGACATCATCTTGATACTTCTTTGCATTTTCTAAGTTGCATGCTATTCCTCAGTGACCTCACCAAACATGTTGCATGGCTTTTCACATGTACATTGACAATACCAACTCTACCTCATCACTATTTCTCACAACAACTCCATTGCATCTGTATTATAAAAAGCCAGTATAGGATCTGCAGAAATTCCCTCCAGTTAAATATTGGGAAGGGCGAATCCATTGTTTCTGTTCTCCAAGCTCTGTTTCCTTGCCTCAGACTCCATCCCTTTCAATAGCAAATGTCTGAGGCTGACCATTCAAAATTGTGGTGTCATATATAACTCTACCCTTACTTCAACTCCTCTGCTACTAAAATCTTCATCCATATATTTTTTACTACTAATTAAGGGAATCAAGGGTTATGGGGAAGAGGCAAGAAAGTGGAGTTGAGTATTTATCAGATCAGCCTTAATCTTATTGAATGGCAGAGAAGATGGCCTACTTCTGCTATTATGTCTTAAGGTCTTATGATCTTCACTATTCCAACACAATACTCCTAGCCTCCAATTTTAACTTCCATAAACATGAAGTCATCCAAAACTCTGCTGTCTGCATTCTTACTCACACAAAGTCCTTTTCACCCATCATCTTATTGATCCTTATTGATCTCTGTTGGTTGCAGGTTAAGTAATGCCTTGATTATGTAATTCCTCTTTTCTTCTCAAATCCATCCATGGTTTTCCTATCTTTATGATTTCTTACAGTGTCACAACCCTCCCATATACTGGCATTCCTGGTATCTTGACCATCCACAATCTTAACTGCTCTACCTTTGGTGACTGTGTCATCAGCTGTCAAAATTCTAAGTCCTGGAATTCTCTCCTTAAACTTCTCCACCACTCTATGTCCTATGCCACTTTTACAATGCTTAAAATTTACCATCTTGACCAACCTTTTAGTCACGTATCCTAATATCTCCTTAGGTTGCCTAATGTCAAACTTTGCTTTATAACATTGTTGTGAAACACCTTGGGATATTTATTCACATGACAGACATTATATAAAAGAGTTATTGTTTTAGATGTTTGCTAAAGTTGCCTCAGGTTTTAACAGTCTACAAAGAGTGCTGGCGGATGCTGAAGTCCATTTTTGGTGATTTAAAACCTTGAGACGAAACAGATTGTTTCCAGACTGGGTAGTCTGGTAGATCTTCCTCTTGTAATTGAGCAAGACTGGAAGAAAGAAGAGGTCACACAGACTACCATTGGGAGATAAAGAAGCAGCTGGAGGCCATATTAACTGTGCATCAATAGGAAACAAGTCATTCACTGCTTGAAATGTCTTTGCTTCACTGAAGAGGTCATGATTGACATCTACCATCTGCTGTAGCCACTACCGAAACTTCAAAGCAGGACAGTGTTTGCATTACTTGTGATTTTCAAGGTGGCTGTGACTATCAACGTTTGTGCACCTGACTCTATCCAGACTGCTGCTGGAGATATGAGTAACATCTCCTGATTTGTAATAACTGCCATAAATGCAAATTCATTGAAGTTCTTTATATAAAGTGAGACAACTTAATCTCATTCCAAACAGGCAGAGTAAACTCATTTGTCTCCATGGGCTACAGGGCTGTCCATGGAACATGTGTCTTTGACTCTATCCATGGCCTTATGTGCCCAGGGCAACTTGGCTTTTGCCTGAACTTAAAAGGTTTGGGATCCCTCACTGTGCGGATAGTGTGTGACCATCATGCTGGTGAGTGGGACCTTTATTCTGGCAAAAGTGACAATTTCTTCATGCTGTGACAGCTGTTTTTTATTCACCATACTGAATCAAAGGCTGATTACTAATTGATGTGTTATTTATTTGCTGTTGACATGGCATATAACACCAGTCTGAAACCAATGTGTACACACACTGCAGGCCTACAATGAGAGCCACAATTAATTTTATAGAGTATTCTATCAGTATTCTCAATTCTTTTGTAGCCTGCACCATTTTATTGTCCAATAAAGCAAAAATTAAAAACTGCCAGAAAATGCAATAGATGTGTAAATTAAATCAGGACATCGTCTCCCTTACTGTCTAACTTCCGTGTGGCTTTGTTTTTGCAAATCTGCTGTGAAGTGTTTCTCTAGTAGCTGCAGCATAGATGGTGGAATATTGCTGATTTCCGGTTGTGGAATCTGAAGAAGCAGTTAGAGGGTGACCATGTCTGGGCCTAGAATACTTCAGACTGTACCATTTTAGGTTGGAGTGCAGCACTGTGAGCTGACTGACAGGCACCATGAAGAGCATTGCCAGCATTGCAGGTATGGGAACATTGATGCTTTCTTTCTGTGAGAGTAAAGCAGAGTTGTGCTCAATTTATCTATTGCCATTCTCTTGGAATGGACCTCAACAATCCTGCTAATCTGTTGAAGAACAGATTGATGGACTGCTGTGACTTTTGAAGCTACTTTGAACAGTGGCATCCAGAGCCATGTTGATAACATTCTGAACTTTCACTTCACTTCACTTCAACACTTGACTGAAAACTGTTTTGCAATGGAAACTGCTGTGGTGTTAGTTGTGCTTAATTAACGTTGTGACACAAGTCATCAAATGCTGCACAGTTGTGTTGATGGAGAGAATGTTCTATTCCATGTGAGAAAATATAGCCCTGTGCCAAGCCAGTGCTGGACTCCTTCGTGCCCCCTGACATTGAGGAGAGACTTTCTGAAACCCTTTAGAGCGCATTAAGATTTAGCTATCTCCACTTCCACCTGTAATCTAATTTATTGAAGTCCTTATCTGAGTCTTCTCAGGAGAAATGGTACGTGACCTTGCCCGCTCATGAGCTTGTTTCCTGTGCCACTCTGGCTGCTGCATATTGGCACATAGTGTCAGACCATGTACAGATCCCTCTTATATCTTAACCTTTAAAAAATGTACATCTGGTAGCTGTGACTGTTGATTGAGTGACAGTGTCTGTTGTGGGAAGCCTTTAGTTCTTGGGTAACTGAAGTGAAAAAAGGACAAAAGTTGGGTGATGGTGAGGGAACAGGAGAAAGTAAGAAGTGTGTGCATATATGATCTACAACGTCTCATTCAGCAGATATTAAGAGGTAAGAGAGAAGGAGATTGATGTCTGTGATACCCTTCTCATGACAGAGGCAAAATCTGTCTCCTTCTTTGAGTTAAAACATGTGGTTGATTTATTACTGGCTGCTGTTTGATCTATGATCTAGGATCTTCTAAATGGTGAAACAGATTCAATGGGCTGAATGACCTACTTTTTTTTTCGATGTTTCTGTGTTCTTATGTTGAGATCAGTTATTCTGCCAGACAACGGTAAATCGTAACAGACTTGATCTGAAGGAAGTTCCAATTTATCTGTTTCATTTTTTATGCAGATAGAGAAGATAGATTGGGCTACTTGGACATGCGTTTTAGGACCAACATGTGAAGGAATCTGGCCTACACACAGTGATACCACAGATGTCAATGCAGCCTGTCTAACCAAAGACAAAAAACTCATAGTCACAGGAGATGACTTTGGCTTTATGAAACTCTTTTCTTACCCAGTAAAGGTAACCATATTCATATAAGTACTACTTTATTTAAATAAAAAAATGTCAAAGTGATTAATCAATACACATTAATTTTAAGAGATAGTAGGAACTGCAGATGCTGGAGAATCCGAGACAACAAGGTGCAGGGCTGGATGAACAGAAGGGTCTAGGCCCGAAACGTCAGCCTCTCTGCTCCTATGATGCTGCTTGGCCTGCTGTGTTCATCCAGCCCTGCACCTTGTTGTCTCACATTAATTTTAAATTCTCTATCATAAATGGACAACATTGTACTTTTCTGTGAGTGCTGTCAAACATGCTTACCCAATTAAATTTGAAACCACATAGGCTATTAATGAGAGATAGTAGGAACTGCAGATGCTGGAGAATCCGAGACAACAAGGTGCAGAGCTGGATGAACACAGCAGGCCAAGCAGCATCATAGGAGCAGAAAGGCTGACGTTTCGGGCCTAGACCCTTCATCAGAAATGGGGGAGGAGAAGGGGATTCTGAAATAAATAGGGAGAGAGGGGGAGGCGGATAGAAGATGGATAGAGGAGAAGATAGGTGGAGAGGAAACAGACAGGTCGAAGAGGCGGGGATGGAGCCAGTAAAGGTGAGTGTAGGTGGGGCATTAAGGAGGGGATAGGTCAGTCCACGGAGGACGGACAGGTCAAGGGGGCGGGATGAAGTTAGTAGGTAGGAGATGGGGGTGGGGCCTGAGGTGGGTTGAGGGGATAGGTGGGAGGAAGGACAGGTTAGGGAGACGGGGACAAGCTGGGCTGGTTTTGGGATGCGGTAGGGGGAGGGCAGATTTTGAAGCTTGTGAAATCCACATTGATACCATTGGGCTGCAGGGTTCCCGAGCGGAATATGAGTTGCTGTTCCTGCAACCTTCGGGTGGCATCGTTGTGGCACTGCAGGAGGCCCAAGATGGATATGTCGTCTGAGGAATGGGAGGGGGTGTTGAAATGGTTCGCGACTGGGAGGTGCAGTTGTGTATTGCGAACCAAGCGTAGGTGTTCTGCAAAGCAGTCCCCGAGCCCCCGCTTGGTTTCCCCAACATAGAGGAGGCCACAACTGGCACAGCAGATGCAGTATACCACATTGGCAGATGTGCAGGTGTGGATCTGCTTGATGTGGAAAGTCTTCTTGGGGCCTGGGATGGGGGTGAGGGGGGAGGTGTAGGGGCAGGTGTAGCACTTCCTGCGGCTGCAGGGGAAAGTGCCGGGTGTGGTGGGGCTGGATGGGGAGTGTGGAGTGGACAAGGGCGTCACGGAGAGAGTGGTCCCTCCAGAAAGCAGATAAGGGTGGGGAGGGAAAGATGTCTTTGGTGGTGGGATCGGATTGCAGATGGCGGAAGTGTCGGAGGATGATGCATTGGATCCGGTGGTTGGTGGGGTGGTACGTGAGGACGAGGGGGATTCTGTTTTGGTTGTTATTGCGGGGAGGGGGTGTGAGGGATGAGTTGCGGGAAATGAGGGAGATACAGTTGAGGGTGTTCTCAACCACTGAGGGGGGGGATGTTGCAGTCCTTGAAAAACGAGGACATCTGAGATGTATGGGAGTGGAATGCCTCATCCTGGGAGCAGATGCGGTGGAGGCAAAGGAATTGGGAATAGGGGATGGCATTTTTACAGGAAGGTGGATGGGAAGGAGGTGTATTCTAGGTAGCTGTGGGAGTCGGTGGGCTTGAAATGGATATCGGTTTCTAGGTGGTTGCCAGAGATGGAGACAGAGAGATCCAGGAAGGAGAGAGAGGTATTAGAGATGGTCCAGGTGAACTTAAGGTTGGGGTGGAAAGTGTTGGTGAAGTGGATGAACTGTTCGAGCTCCTCGTGGGAGCACGAGGCGGCGCCAATACAGTCATCAATGTAACGGAGGAAGAGGTGGGGTTTACGGCCATTGTAGGTACGGAAGAGGGATTGTTCCACGTAACCTACAAAGAGGCAGGCATAGCTTGGGCCCATGCGGGTACCCATGGCCACCCCCTTTGTCTGTAGGAAGTGGGAGGAATTGAAAGAGAAGTTGTTGAGGGTGAGGACAAGTTCGGCTAAGCGGATGAGGGTGTCAGTGGAGGGGGACTGGTCGGGCCTGCGGGACAGGAAGAAGCGGAGGGCCTTTAGGCCATCTGTATGGGGAATGCAGGTGTATAGGGACTGGACGTCCATGGTAAAGATGAGGTGTTGGGGACCGGGGAATTGGAAGTTCTGGAGGAGGTGGAGGGCGTGGGTGGTGTCACAGACGTCGGTAGGGAGTTCCTGGACCAAGGGGTAGAAAATGGAGTCCAGATAGTTGGAGATAAGTTCAGTGGGGCAGGAGCAGGCGGAGACAATGGGTCGACCAGGGCATTCAGGTTTGTGGATTTTGGGAAGGAGATAGAAGCGGGCGGTGCGGTGTTGGGGAACGATGAGGTTGGAGGCCGTGGGTGGGAGGTCACCTGAAGTGATGAGATTGTGGATGGTTTGGGAGATGACGGTTTGGTGCTCGGGGGTGGGGTCATGATCAAGGAGGTGGTAGGAGGCGGTGTCGGAGAGTTGGCGTCTGGCCTCGGCGATGTAGAGGCCAGTGCGCCATACTACAACTGCGCCTTCCTTGTCCGCGGGTTTTATGGTGAGGTTGGGATTGGAGCGGTGGGAACGGAGGGCTGCACGTTCTGCGGGGGAGAGGTTGGAGTGTCGTTGTTTCAATATTCTACAAATGCATCCACCGTCCTGCAGTGCAGGTAAAAAGCATGGGTATTAGGTGTGGTCTCAAAAAATATTGCATGGAATTATTGGGAAGTTAAACTGAAATGAACTGAGATAAAAATTAATCCTTAACTTTTGGGCAGGAATCCAAAAAAGTGGCTAATCTCCTCTTTGGAAAACCTGTATAATGATCATTTCAGGTAATTCTGGTCAGAAAATCGCTAGCCCTCAAACTTTCATTTTTTTTAACTAAATTATAGGTAGAAAATTAATAGCAAAAAAGGGTGCATTTTTGTTCTTAAGATGCCCAACTATTTAATCCTCCCTTCTATTTAATTCCAGTTATTTTTAAACGTTAGAATTCAAAAAAATTCTTATAATAGCCAGGAACAGGGCAAAAACATTTACAGTGGAATAGGATCCATGAAACAGTGGAGAGTGAAGCTTTATATGGGATCCACCCACTCAGCCTCAGCTTTTATACTAATATGAGATGGGCTGCATGGATTTAGTAACATTTTGTGACAATGCCTACAAGCACCAATCCAAGGAAAAGCTATACGCTAAATATGAACTTATCTTGACTCCTTTGGATGCTGATATCCTGTGTATTTGTAGAATTTTGTGTTTTAATTTTCGAACTCTTAGCTTTTGTGTTTCTTCATCTTGTTTCTCAGTAGTCACTGTTTGAAGACTAGTTAGAGATACAAAGGCAGAAAAGGGGTAATTTAAACAGGACATTTCATAAAAATAAACAAAATACAGGTAAGACCTCACACTTACCTTGACCTGGGCCACTGGAGAATTAAATAGTTCTAAAATAAGTTTAAAGATCCAGATCAAAGAAGAATATTTGCACAATTACAAGGAAAATTCGCAATACTTAGGAATGGGTCCTGTTGCAATTGGGCTTCACTCTCAAAATTCTTCACTCGTACTTGCATCAGGAGGCAATTTCCACAGGCTGTTATTTCTTTGACTGCTATGATCTGAAACCAAATGAATTTATTTGTAGGTGCAGTTAAAACATAGAAAATGAATTACCCTGTTATCAATTTAATGAACATAATTTTCCTGTCTGGCAGTGCTGTCTTCTTCAGAAAAATACCACGGTGTGAGATCATGCTCAGCCTACCAGTCAAATCTACACAAATAAATCACACAAAAGCAAAAATAAAAGCAGCAGGACAATGCTAGATTTACATGAGAGTATTGATTTTTAAATAACAAAATGTCCTTTTTCAGAAACTTTAAGATGAATCCTTAGATAGATAATTGGTTTATCATGCAGGTGCCAGTACAGAAAAGAAACAAAAGGTTCACGACTTTTCTGCATTTGTATTAAATCTCTCTTAGTCTTTGCCTACAAAGCTGTACCCAAATTTTCCTGTTTTGAAATGATACAGAATCATAGTTATATTGAACAATTATAAATTGGGTTCTGCTAGTGTGATATACCCTTTACAACAATAAGTTGCGCCTATATAGCAACTTTAAAATAGAAAACAACCCGATGCACTTTTTGTAGGAAAAATATCAGCAAATTTTAATCTAATGTTGCATGAGGAAAGAGATAACAAGGTGTAGAGCTGGATGAACACAGCAAGGCTCTAGACCCAAAACATCAGCTTTCCTGCTCCTCTGATGCTGCTTGACCTGCTGTGTTCATCCAGCTCTACACCTTGTTATCTCAGATTCTCCAGCATCTGCAGTTCCAACTATCTCTGAAACAATTTTAACCCCACTGCGAAGCCTCTTCTAAGGATGCCTACCTTGAACAAGTTACCCTCCTCCCTCCAGAAAGACCTCAGTGGATCTCCCTCCCATTGCAACCCTCTCGTAATCTCTTCGGCCCTGAAACTGCACGACCACGTCCTGAAGCAAACCAGGTACTACAGCCACATTACCTTTCTTAGTACATGCCTACGGAACCTTTTCTGAAGAAGGATCTAGGCCCAAAACGTCAGCTTTCCTGCTCCTCTGATGCTGCTTGACCTGCTATGTTCATCCAGCTCTACACCTTGTTATCTCAGATTCTCCAGCATCTCGTTCCTACTACCATTGCATGAGGAAATATTGGATAAGCAATCAAAAGCTTGATCAAAGAGATTTAAAGGTCTACTTTAAAAGATGTGAGAAGGGACAAAGATTTAGCGAGGTAATTCCTGAGTTTAGGGCCTAGACAGCTGAAGGCACAGTCACTAATGTGAAATGAAGAAATCGGAGATACACAAGAGGTTAGAATTGGAGAAGTGCACTTTGTCTCAGGTGGAAGCAAGCATCTTTCTTACAAGGCTGATGACAAACATTTGAATAGATAGCAAAGCTCAAAATACTTGGGGAGACAGCGAGCCAATTTGCCCCCTGAAGACCCCAAATGTCTTGGGAAAATTATTCATGGGGCAACCAATCAGAGAAATGTCACCCTCCTCACCTTGTAAGCAAGAGAATTGCCAAGGGGCCATGTTATGCCATAATTAGTCTGTCAAAACGAGAAGGCATAGGTTTAAGGTGAGAGGGGCAAGATTTAAAAGGGCCCTGAGGGGTAACTTATACAAAGTGTAGTGTGTATATAGAACGAGCTGCCAGATGAAGTGGGAGAGGCGGGTACAATTACAACATTTAAAAGACTTTTGGACAGGTACTTGGATAGGAAAGGTTTAGGAGGATATGGGCCAAACACAGGCAAATGGGACTAGTTCAGTTTAGGAAACCTGGTCAGCATGGATGAGTTGGGGCAAAGGGCTTGTTTCCGTGCTGTATGACTCTATGACTAATGAAATGGTTGATCATTCATGAATTCCACCAGAAAATAAGCATGTGTAGTTCATATTAAAGTTATTGCATGTCATCTATACATTTAAGTAACTAGAACCCTTAAAGTAGCATGGATGTTGGTGAAATCTTGAACTTATAAAACTGCATTTGAATTAATAGGACGGATAATGGCCCAACGTTTCTCATGTACAAAATGGAAGACAGGGTAGATAAAGTATTTTCACTGGTCGGAGATTCCAGAATTAAGCAGCTACAGTCTGAGAATTAGGGCTAGACCATTCAGGAGCGACGTTAATAAGCCACTTTTACATACAGAGGGTGGTAAAGATTCGGAAAAGTTTGGAACTCTCTCACATGACAATTGATGCTAGGTCAGTTGTTAGTTTTAATCCTGAGACAGATAAATTTTTGTTAAGCAAAGGTATTAAAAGACATAGGCTAAAACTAAGTAATAGGAGTTAGGCCACAGATCAGCCGTGATCACATTACATAGTGGAACTAGCTCGATAAGCTGAATGAACAAAGAACAGTATAGCACAGGAACAGGCCCTTTGGCCCTCCAAGCCTGTGCCGACACATTTTGCCCTTCCATACTAAAATGGTCTTCACTTACAGGATCCGGATCCCTCTATTCCCTTCCTTTTCATGCATTTATCCAAGTGCATCTTGAATGACGCTATTGTGTCTGCTTCCACTACCACCTCTGGCAACGTGTTCCAGGCACTCACCACCCTTTGTGTGAAAAACGTGCCTCGCACATCTCTTTACGAACTTTCCCCCTCGCACCTTGAACCTGTGTCCCCTAGTAATTGACCCCTCCACCCTGGGAAAAAGCTTCATACTTCCCACTCTATCCATACCATTCACAATCTTATAAACTTCGATTAGGTTGCCCCTCAACCTCCTGTTACAGTGAAAACAAACCCATTCTATCCAACCTCATACCAGGCAACATCCTGATAAACATTTTCTGTACCCTCTCCAAGGCATCCACATCCTTGTGGTAGTGTGGTGACTACAACTGTATGCAATATTCCAACTGTGGCCTAACTAAAGTTCTGTAAAGCTGCAGCATAACTTGCCTATCCTTATACTCAATGAAAACAAGCTTACCATAGGCCTTTTTTACTACCTTATCTACCTGCGCTGCCATTTTCAGTGTTCTGTGCACTTGCACACCCAGATCCCTCTACATATCAATACTCCTAAGGGTTCTGCCATCCACCACATAATTTCCGCTTGTACTTGACCTTCCAGAATGCATCACTCACATTTGTCCAGATTAAACTCCATCTGCCATTTTTCTGCCCATGCCTCCAATTGATCTATATGCTGCTGTATCCTCTGACAATCCTCCTCACTATCCACAACTCCACTAATCTTTGTATCATCTGCAAACTTACTAATTAGACCAGCTACATTTTCCTCCAAGTCATTTATGTAGACCACAAACAGCAGAGGTCCTAGCATTGATCCCTGTGGAACACCACTAATCACAACCCTCCATTCTGAAAAGCATCCTTCCACCACTGCCCTCCACCTCCTATGAGTAAGCTAATTCTGCTGTGACTTCACCTTTTGTACCAGTCTGCCATGAGGGACCTTGTCAAAGGCTTTACTGAAGTCCATGTAGACATTAACCGCTTTTCGTTCATTGATCCTCTTCGTCACCTCTTCAAAAATCTCGATCAAGTTAGTGAAGCATAACCGCACCCCCCCCCGCACAAAACCATGCTGTTTATCACTAATAAGTCTATTTGCTTCTAAATGCATACAGATTTTGTCCCTGAGAATCTTTCCCAATAATTTCCCTACCAGCAATGTGAATCTCACAGGTCTGTAATTTCCTGGACTATCCCTGCTACCCTTCTTAAACAATGGGACAACATTGGCTATTCTCCAGTCTTCTGGGACCTCACCTGTGGCGAAAGAGGATATAAAGACATCTGTCAGTGCTCCAGCAATTTGTTCTATTGCCTCCCTCAATATTCTGGGTTGACCGCGGACTTTTCTACCTTAATACTTTTTAAGATAGATAACACCTTTTCCTTTTTAACAGCAACTTGGCTTTAAAACTTGACACTCCCTTCCCTGAGATCATCCTCTACCAACTCCTTCTCTTTCGTGAATACTGACACAAAGTATTTGTTTAGGACCTCACCTACCTCTTCTGGCACCACGCAAAGATTCCTCCCTTTGTCTTTGAGTCGGCCAACCCTTTCCCTGGCTACCCTCTTGCTTTTTATATATGTAGAAAAAGCCTTAGGATTCTCCTTAATCCTATTTGCTAACGACTTTTCATGACCCCTTCCAGCCCTTCTAATTCCTTGTTTAAGTTCTTTCCTACTTTCCTTATATACTTCAAGGGCTTCATCAGTTCACATCCTTCTAGGCCTACTCCTGTTCCTATAAATGTATATATAATATGTACATAATGAATTGTAATAGTATCTGTCTAATGCGCTGATCCTATTTAAATATAGCATCTAATGGTGTCTCATTACTCCCTGTCCAAAGGGAAGGAAGAAGGCGAATCCTTGTAGTTTACTTTTTCAGACCGATAACCTAGCACTTCGTGAGATATTATTATTTTTAAAAACTTCATACAATAACTGGCTATGTAATTTTGGATTTTGATATTGGACAAAGGGGTTAATATTGACAAACGCACAAAATATTTAACTAAAGAAAGCTAAAATGAATTAGTTTCTTTCCTTTTTCTGTTATTTAGTGCAATATAAATTATGGATAATTAATCCAGAAAAAACTTATCAAAATTATCAGCAAAAAGTAAAATGTCAAGAAGAATATCTAGTTGAGGTATAGTATACGTGCTTCTGTATTGTAAAGGTTTACTAAGTATATAAAGCCATCATAACCAACATCCAATTGAAAATTGAACTAATTTGTATTTCAGGGCCGATATGCAAAGTTTAAGAAGTATGTGGGTCACAGTGCACATGTGACCAATGTACAATGGGCACAAGATGACAGCTTGTTGCTAACAGTGGGTGGAGCTGATACCGCTTTGATGATCTGGAGTTGGGAAACTGATGGAAACAGGGACAACAAGCCTGTGGACAGTGAAGAGTCTGACGACACTGATGAAGATGGAGGTAGACAGGAAATAAACTCATAATTTGAGTATTTTTCTTAGCCAGTGTACTGCTATATTTTGTCTTTGTAATAAACTGAAATTTTACAATCATCTAGCAAATCTACTGGACAGCGGCAATATATTACCACTATCACCAAACTGCTTTTTTAAAAATACTCACCAATAAATCACCCATTTGACAAATTAAACAACAAGCATGGAGGCAGTGCAGCAACAACAAAAATAGCAAAGGATAAGTAGAGAAGAAGACAGCTAACTTAAAATGGAGTTGGAGGGGAATAAACTGCATGTTCTTACTTTTCCAACAAGTGGGTTCAGACTTGACATTATTCATTTACTGCGACAATTACCCTTTCATTAAAAAAGCTGGAATTGGTCATTTATCTGTCCCAAGGCATCCTTTTATCAGAACTGTCTCAGATGGGAACATAAAGCATTCCTTTACTGACTTTCTAGCAGTTCTGTTCAAAGGTACCGTTGTATTTCACTGTGTGACCAGGCTTTTTAATTTTGCTTAGCTTCTGTTGGCCATCTTCTAAGCAGGCAATAGTATGCTGTTCCAATAAATATAAGTCCCACTTATATAAAACAAAATAAAAAAGTAGAAATTATTCTTTCAAAGTTACAGCCAGGTTATGTGTCTTCTGGAATGCTTTGTACCTTCTCCATCAATTCTTCTGTCAGAAAGGCCTTCTCTGTCAGTTCTTCTGTCAGGAATGTTAACTAGTTGTGCCATTGGTACTGTTGTTATTTAGATGGTGCTTTCTTTAAGACTTAGAGGAGTCTGTGAGAGCCAGTGATTCTCACTTGAGAGATGACAGCTGTTAACTCTGGCAGATGGCAGTTCGCTCTCCTATCTTTGGCCAACTGCCCCGCCTTTTATACCCTTGATAACTAATGTCCTTTAGGGAAGGAAACTGCCATCCTTACCTGGTCTGACCTACATGTGACTCCAGACCCACAGAAATGTGGTTGACTCGTAACCGCCCTCTAGGCAATTAGGGATGGGCAATGAATGCTGCCTAGCCAGTGCCACCCTCATCCCGAGAATGAATAAAGAAACAAAAATAACATATCAATTTCTTATAATAGGATTGGTCCTATGTCGTCAAACCGTCATTTTTAAATTTAATTGGTTTTTGCTATCGAAGTGCTTTGTTCAAATTGATTGGGTAAACTCAAAACTTGTTGTCTTGGTAAAAACTGCTGTTTGGCCTGCTAACTGTACAGCCTTTTGATACAGGTGTCTCAATTCGGGTGTTCTCTACGTGCTTGCAAACTTTCAAGCTGCTGCTCACAGACTTTTTTTTAAATCTCTAAGCATAGAAAAAGGACATCATCTTTTGAAGGGGCCACACAATGCTTTCCCCCGGCTAGTATTTTACAAACACCAAATTCTAATTTCCTGCCTCCAAATCCACAAGTACTCTACCCAACTTAGCAGCCACTGTTTACGTGATTGTTACCACGTTCAACTTTCGACACTCATTCAACTTGAGTAACTCACAGCCTCTACATCTAAGTTTTAACCGGCTCCAGCCCTGGCCAACATCTCCCCCCTTTTGATACAAAGATTTGTCTGAGGATGACCACATTCCCCTTAAGCGTAATACCAAGCCGCTTCGTGGCAACTGTCGGCTCCCTTTGTTACAAAAGTGTTAGTAAATATTTTCCATACACATATCAGTATGTTACTTAAAATCTTTTTAAATGCTTACATCTACTAAAAAAGCGTAATGATGACACAGTAAATGCATGCTCCTTAATATCATTGAAAACTTTCCCCTATTCACGACATTCATTGGTATCTGACATCCATCCCCATTGTCATTCCTTTCCATTTTTTAATTTGCTGTCTTAGCAACCAAAACAGAACTATTACCACAGTAAGAACAACAAACTGTAATACAACAATCACACGAGACATAATCCTGATCCACAGATGGACCTGAGCATTCAGTCCCCAGTTCCAGAGTTTATACTAGAGACTTAGAGCCTGCAACATCTCACTTGCCTCTTCTGCATGGGCTTTGATCTGTTTCTCATGTACGGACCATTTATGGATAGCTTCCTTGGCTTCTTCAATAATCTTTATCCAGTCTGCAACGAAGTGTGGAATGGGTGGAAGGTCCATAGCTACAAACTGTTGCACATCTTCATGTGTCATTTCAACGAACGGATAGTTATACACAATTTCTCATTAGGTTCAGGCTTAAACAAAATTTGATGGCCAATGGCTAAACCAGAAGGAACATTACCAAACGCCACATTATGTCCATTCGAAGCACACCATTTCCATCCCTTTGGTATCTCCACATCTACTCACATCACGCAAATATTACTGTGACATTTGTTCGAAGATGTAATATGCCCCACTCACAATCAAATGATGTTATCCCCTCCTGTTCATAGAAAATATCAGTCATAATATTCACCGTGGAAAGGGCCCCTATTCAAAGGAGAATGATAATAATGATCCTTTATGTTCTCATGTTGATTCTTCTTCCTATAAAACAAATGGAGTTTCTGCTCTTATTTGCACTCAATCTGATTTTGTTCCAATGACAGATCCTGCAGCACTGGGTTACTTCAGGCAGATCTGGTACCTCTTATAATCTCCCCATTTTTCTCCTGGTTCATCTGGACTGAAAAGGAGTATGTCAATCTCTACCCTTATTTTTCTCCTTTCTCCATTGGGAGACAGTCGGTGTCCAAATTTGGTATTGGTCTGTTACATTGGGTTTCTACGAGGGGGATCTCGATGAAATCCATTTCCAGCCCGACATGTTGCTGGGGTTTCTCAACCTCTTCTCCATCTTCCTGGTTGTTGCCGTCATCCCAGGCTCCTTCCCAAAACCAGTCCTGCGTGAGATCTTCCCATCCGGAAATACCTTTGACTCCGAAAGAATCCAACATAATGTGCTGATTATGGTGATCTATATTGTTTTGGTCTCCCCCAAAGGGTTTCAATTGATTTATATGGTACTACCCACTCTTGTTAGGGGCTGTTAGAACCTTGTGTACAAAGGGTCTGACTTTATCAATTACTTCAGATGTTGCATCAAATCTGGTGGATGGAGATCATTACTTGTTGACCACCTGTAGCTCTACTGGCTTTGCCTTTGAACAAAAATGGGCTTTATTTTGTTGATTCCTTTTTGTTCTGTTATTAACTGCTACATAATTTGCTTCCTTTACCCTTTCAATTAACTGTTGAACCCACTTGTCCCTTGTTATGTTATCAACTCTTAGTTCTGAGAGGTCCAACCTGAGCAAGATCTCTAATCCTCTCATTTCTCATCCTGTCATCAGTCTGTAAAGGGTAAATCCAGTGGAGGAAGACACAGTGCTTCTTATTATTATCAGGACATAAGGAAACACTGTCGTCCAAGTGGTCATATACAACTTTGGCCAACGTATTCTTCAAAGTTCGATTCATTCTTTCTACAATCTGACTAGATTGAAGCCTATAAGATATGTAGAATCCTTGTTTTACCCCTGGTAATGTCGTGACATTCTGCATCACTTGGGCCATCAAATGCATCCCTTGACCTGATTCAATACTCCTTGGTATTACCCCAATGTGTAAAGACTTTATCTAACAGGACCTCAGCCATAATTTTAGCAGTATCGGTTCGAGTGGGAAACGCTTCTACTCATTTGATAAAGGTATCCACCATCAATAAGATATACTTACATCCTCATGTAATTGGGGGTAGTGGACCCACAAAGTCTATCTGCAAGTTTGTCCAAGGTCTTGCAACTGGCCAACTATGTCTCAATGCTCCTTTCTTAATATTCCTAACCAAGTTATGTTGTGCACAGATCAAACAATCTTGACATAAAGCTCTACGTCTCCCTTCATGCGTGGCCACCAACACACTTCACTAAGTCTTTCCAAGGCGTTCTCTGCTCCTTGGTGCCTGTGAATGTCATGAAAGCAGTATATCATCTGGTTCCTTCCCTTCGCATAGGACAACTCTATCACCTATGTGTAGTCCCTTTTGTTTATCATAACACAATTTCTCTCCCTTTAGAAACTTTTGTAATTCAGTATTCTTCCTCTTCTCCTGCTAAGTCTTTGAGTGTCTTTTCTTTATCTTTCTGTGCTCCTGTTTCCTCATTCTGTGGCTCCCAGTATTCGCTATTGCTCCTCATTTAGCCAATTCATCTGCCTTTCTGTTTCCCTCTGGTGATAACTTGGAATGAGCTTTTACTTCTCTTCACTCCATATTCTTTCCCCTTTGCCTTTTCAAAGATATACCTTAGCAGGGGGCAGACAGTAAGGCCTTCCCATCTGCTGACACAAACCCTCCCCCGTCCCATAGGGTAGGTATTCTGTCAGGCTGTTGCACACATACATACTATCTGAGTTGATAGTAGATCCTGGGCGAAATTTCTCTGGGTGGCTCACTATGTATGCCACTGCTGCCAACTCAGCTGCTTGAGCCGTCATGGCCTTTGGCAGATTAAGGGCTATATTATCTATTTCCGGTTGTTATTATTCTCTATATACAGTCCACATCTTGTCTTTCTTTCCCCATTCTGTACAGGTGAAGTCCCATCAACAAAAATTTTTAAGGGTGATTTTTCATTTTCTGTGTTCTGTTTACCAGTGAGCCCCTCATTTTTGTTTTGATGCAAATGGTCCCTTGGTATTATTTGCTATAACCACGAGACTTTCATATGGTGTCCCCAGTAAATTAAATTGTCCGCTAACGTGGAAGTCCTTTTAACCCTTTTTATCACTGTGTTCCTCCCTTGTAACAGCAACGTCCATCTGTCAATCCTATTGTGTCTCACTGTGCCATCATTAATACGTCCGTCCAGCAGCATCTGAATGGGTGCATTTCCCGTCAAAATTGTCAACGGGGTTCAACCCTACAATGTAGGTAAAAGTTGTACTGTCCAGGACACTGCCAACAAATGCCTTTCACATGGCATGTACCCCTGCTCTACTGGGATAAGCATGAGCAAGGCATAGGCTACTGGTCTCAA